TGCAAGTGTCCAAATGTCAATGTCCTGATTTTGAATGGTCTGATATGTGCAAGAATAGTAACTCTGAATCCATAGAGTTTAAAATTACGTAGTTCAGGTATGTGCATGCTGTTTTGCACTGCTGTCAATTCAAAAGAGTTTGTCCTGTCAAAGTGTAGCTGCAGTGAGTTTGTTTATCTCTCCTTTACTGTGGGATAAAACCCATGTATGGTCAGGTGCCATTGAAGAATTGCCATGCACCTCTTGTGTAGCCACACCTAGTTGAGACTGTTAAATTAAAACATTTTGTTGAAAGGTCTAGTGGATAGTAAAGCAGGTGGTTTTTTTCATACATAATCAGAAGTGATTTGCCACCAAATCGCCATGCTTTTGTGCTGCAGTGATCATGATTCACCAATAGTTGTCAGAATTATCTGACAAAAAAATGGGAAGTTGCTAAACTTCAGAACATTTTTAAACACATGAAGCATGATAGTGAGTTCTATGATTGGCATCAGGCTAAATGTGCTGTTGACATGAGTTTTCTGTGTGTTTAAGCAAAGCTAACTTCTTGTCACATATTTATGAACTGTTCTTCTCTAAATGCTTCTGCTAAGTGCTAAGTACATCTCCCTCCTCACCCCCAGCAGAGGAAGTAATTCACTGTGAAAACCTAGCTGTGTTAGAGGAATCTCAAGTTGTTAAACACAGAAGAGCCATGTTATGTTTGTTCTCCTTTTTCCTTCTTAGTTCCCTCATTCACCTGTTGTTTATATCTCTTCTCCCAGAGTCGAGCCCTACATCATCTCCCAGCTTAAAAAGGGAAGTTTATTCCTGTAATCAACTTCTGCTTTGATTTTCATTTCTCTTTTTATGTAGTCTGTATAATTACTGACTAGTGTTCTTTTCCTCTGGTTTCCAGAAAATTCAGAATTTGATTTTGCACTAGGTTAAAACTGTTCTAGATGGTGTTGCTGGTGGCCACAGACCATTCATTCAGGACTATCTGTCAAAGTCTAAAGAAATCCCAGAACTTAAGTTTCTTCATGCCTTCTCCTAACACTGTACTCCTGTACTGTGCATCTCTCCTGCAGATGAGTCTCGTTTCGTCTGAATTTGATTCTCTCTCCTCTTTTTAGTATATTTGCAGATATTTTCAGTGTCACTCTGATTATGTCCTGCCTCATTCTGTTCCTGAAGCATCAGCCTGTAGCAAGCCTGAGAATAAAAATAGAGGACTCTAAATCCCACATGAGCTGTGGTGCTGGTATCTAGCATTTTATGTTTGTAATTCAAGGATCGATCTCTGTGTAATCTCTGAATGTTAGGATTTCTACCAAGGAGCCTCAAACATTTTTAAAAAATTTATTTAAATGATTTTATTTAAGAGTTCAAGAGATCTGTTTTCCCAGAAGTGGTGTTGAAAAAGTGAAGTGTAAGCACAAAGTGTTTGTTTCAAAAGTTTGGCAAGCTGTAGAAGAATGTGCCAAGTTTCTGCAGCTTGCAGAAGGTCAGGGGCACGTCTGAAGAGAGTAGCATTTTAGGGGAGTTACGGGATTTCATGGGCTGTTAAATAAAAAATGTCTAGATCCATTAGGTCTTGTATCCTGAAGCCATTCCAGATGTATGCAGTTGTCATGAATTTATTTCTTTTTACACCTTTGCAATAAAGAAGAGAAAATGCTAATTAAATTCTGATTGTAACTGTATATTTTTTTATAGTGAAATTACTACTTGGCTGAAATCACTGTGGGTAGATAAGTATACTGTATCTGTCTACTCACATAACTAGAATTTATATTTAAAATACATACATATATTTTATATATATAATATTATCTTAAAAGTGCTTTGTATCATTCTTTAGGTGCTTAGTTGTAATGTACATATGCATAAGGGTTTTAATTTTTCTGGAAATACTGTTTTCATAATCTATTAATGACAGGATATGTCCATTATTAGTATTCTGTGACTTTACTACTACAATAGACACATTTTATAGCCATCCCAGAGATCTAAAAATTAATGGATCTATTTTATGTCAGTTTATATTTTACTTAAAATTGGTTTTCATTTAGCCAAGAGATAATAATATCTTAAATCATCTGTCACTGGTTTTGCTGATACCTTAGTATCATACAGTCCTAGTGAACTGGAGATTTTTCTGCTCTGGCTCCTGCTTGAAGCAAGGTCATCCACAGAGGGTTACTCAGGACATTGCTGAGTTGAGTTTTGGATATCTCCAGTGATGGAAATGTGCTTAAACATAATTTTCTGTGCTTCAGTTCGTGCCTATTGCTTCTTGTCCTGTTACTGGGCATGACTGAGAAGGGTGTGATTCCATCTTCTGAACTCCCTGCCCTCCTTCCAAATTGGGTAATTTTGCACCATCATAAGATTCCTTGGTGACTTCCCTTCTCCAGGCTGCACAGTCCTGTTTCTCTTAGCCTCCCCTTATATGACAGATGCTCCAAGCTCTAAGCAGATGTCATATTTATACCAAAGCGTTCCTTTTCAAAACTACTTCTCCTCACAGTGGTAAAGTACAGTGGTAAAGCTGTACAGTTCAGCTCAAAAAAAGATCCTGAGAAACAGTAAAATGATTTATTTTTAAAATTACTTATTTTGCAACACTACCCCCATGCTAGCTCCCTTCTTATTTCAGCCAAGGTTTATGGTTTTCATAAAGCATTTACTGGAAAACTGACTTTATAATCTTATCTTATATCCCTAGGAATCTTATTCAGTATGGTGTTTGATATTTAATATAACCTTTTATATAATCATTTCCTTCTGAAGAATGAAGTAGAACATTCTTTGATTAATGGACTACCTTTTTATAAAGATTTTTTCCTAAATTTGCATTTCTAGAGCATGCATCTATGGCTTATTTTTGCATAGTAAGGACGGTATCCTTAGTTTCTCCTGGAGAGCAATAGATATACTCTTTTTCTGAATGTTTAAAAGAATAGAACAGACATGTTTTATCAGACCTTCCTCTAAAGGAAATATGTGTGCTGAAAATAGGACTATTTCACAGGCCTGTGGGTGTCTGCAGTCTGTAAGCTGGTAGTCAGCAGCTTTCCTTCACCAGCCTTCTGCTGTTGTGTTCTTAATTTGGGAAATGATTCTGGCATTCTGTTGTTCCTTCTCTTGGAATGTGCTTTCTGAGGCTCACAGGCAGAGTTACATATTTTACTGTTCACACACAGAACACACGTAGCATAGTGTTCCTGTGAATGTACAACTTCTTCTCCCTTGTCCATCTTTATTCTCTTGGCAGACTGTTGACAAATTGGCAGCAAAACTCATCAGGATTTGGGGGATATTAGCTTATATTTGATCCTTCTTTCAAAGGTAGCAGGTTCTTGCTCTGAGTTTTATCACGTTCAGATTGGTGCTTTGAGGAATGATGTTCCCTCCATAGAAGTAAAAATGAAGGTTCCTGAAATGCAACTTCTTGTCTTACATCTTTTTACTTGCAGAATGCCAGTGCTGTTCCTTCTTTCTGGTTACTGACGTTATTACTGTAATTACTCTGTTCTCCAAAACTTTCTTTCACTAAATTTCTTTGATGTACTCACAGTATTGCACCTTTCTGCATGGCCAGGACACCACCTAACTGTGCTGAGGACCCTTACTCGTGTAGGCTTTATTTGCAAGGTGTGTGCTAGGTCTTGAACTAAACTATAGTCTTCTTGTCCACTAAGTAAATAGCAGCATAAAGCTTCTACTGAGGCATGTAGAAAATGTCATGACATCTTCTTTAGGGTGAACACCTGCCCAGGAGCACAAACTGAGATGAAAAATGTGCAGCTGGTGTCTGAACTTTGAGGAAACGTAAAAAATTGTAGAAACATCCTTTGCTTAGCACTCAAACATCACACTTAATAGTGTGATTTGCAAAGTAATAATACCTGAATCATAGTGAAAGTTTGACTTCAGTTGCACTGCTTTTCCAGTCTGTTTTTCTGTTCTGAATTGGTTCAGAAGTTTCTGGATTCTTTATGTGACTGCTCTGGAAAACTTGGGGTGGTAATACAATCCAGAGGACTGGAAACTGGGGAAAGGAAAGGGAAGGGAGAACCGGAAATAGGGGAAGATAAAAACTGTTTCGTGTGGAGGGCATGTGAAAATTGTTGTAATTTTACCTATATTATATTAACTTTGAAGCGCATGTATCTCCCAAGAATAACTGTTTTCATACCTTTACAGCGTAATTAATATAAATACAGGCGTTCCCACACAGTTCATAGCAAATGCGGATTGTGACGTTTCAGAGAACATGTGATAACCCACAGATTCATTTATGTTGATGAGAGGCCACCTTTATTGCTGAAAGACTGCACATCTGTAATTGCGTCTCACTATTCTGTTACAGTTCTTCATTGTGGTTCAAGTTTTACCTCATTGTTCAAGACAAAAAGCTACTTTTTATTGGTTTTAGTCAACTCTTCTGCTTTGTTCGTTTTCCTAGAAAAGAGCAATGTATTGTATGCTTTAGTAAATAGTGATTTCAGTATAGCTGTTTACTTCCAGCTTACTTCTTATATTTGTATACCAAAGTTGTTTATATGTCTTTAGATTCTTACATTATCTTACAGTACTGAAATGTAGGCTTTTTAGAATGAAAAGAAATTTTAAATTATGACTGTATCATGCTATGTTGAGTTCAGGATATATTTCTTTTTGCCTGGCTAAGGATGATTTTTACAATGAGGGAAATTGGACTCAGTTCAAGATTTCTAGTTTTAAGTCATTGAGCTTTGCCTCAGGTTTCCAATGTTGCCTTGTAAATTCACTTGAGGTCAGTTCTATAGTAGTACTTAGCATCCCTTTGATCAGAACAAAAAATACCCAATTCCTGGAAACAGTTCAAAAAGTCTTATGGGGAAGTAATTAGAAAAATAATTAATACTAATCATATGCCATGGCACTTTATTTAGGACAATGTCAGGGTATGAAAAGAAATACCCAGTCCCTTTAAATATGTTGACACTATAATACTGTTTTAACTACAGGTACAGAGAGGCTCTTGTCAAGTGGGATGAAGCACTTCAGTTAACTCCAGAGGATGCTACACTGTATGAGATGAAATCACAGGTAAAACATGACAATTCTTTGCCAGTTCAGAAAGTAGAAAATAAAACATTGTGTTCATGAACAGATACAATGAACAGATACTGTAAACAAATTGTTTTGATGTTGTGTGCAGGGTCTACAACACAATTTAGGCGTTTTATTTTTACCAACCAGCAGAGTGTCTTTTAACAGAAATTGGAATAATGCTGTTATCCCAGCCAGTCACAATAAACATCTTTGTTGGATTGTGAATTACGATGCTATATTGCAGGGAAAAAAATGAAAATACTTGATTATATTGGAGGGATCAAGAAGAGCATTAGTATGACAGATTAGTGAATCTGACCATTGAAAATCTGCCTGGTCTTTCTAAAGATTGGGCTAAGTACTATCTACTGTCAGTACTAAATTCTTTATTGTACTTTATGCAAATAGTTTGCTTCAATCTAGACTTGTATTAAATGTTATTGATAAATCAGCCATATATAAGGCTTTGTAATATCTAATCTAAACCTGCTCTCTTTCAGCTTGAAGCTGTTCCCCCTTGTCCTATCACTACATGCCCTTGTAAAAAGTCCCACCCCAGCTTTCTTGTGGCTCCCATAGGAGCCCCCCCAGATTCTAGGAAGCATCTTAACAGGCCCCATAGACTTGTGCCTATTTAGTTTCATCAGTCTTGAAAAAATACATTGCTTGAAGAAGAGAGGAAGAGAAAAAGAATTTGATTAATGTATTATGTAAGTTATAGGAAGTTTGCTATACTGTTTAGTTTTAAAATCTTTGTTGTTACTCTAATTCTTTTATTGTGTAAAAACCCCAGTCAAAACCCTAGCACCCCCCACTTCCCCAAAAACGAAGCCAAAAAAATCCAAACCACAACAAACACCATGACTAGTGCTCGTTCTTTTCCAAGGTGTGGTGGCTGCTTTTTCTAATGGATGTTACTACATTTGCTCCTCAGAGTCATCTTGTCTGATGAAGTGAAGAAAGTTTGATTCTGCAAAAGAATTAATAGAATTATCATGACGTGATTTCAATGCAGTAATACTAAAGGATGCTTTTATTTTATATGGCTGCAATACTAAAGGATGCTTTTATTTTTTATGGCTACAGCAAGCTTTGGCTCTGGAACTTCACTGTGTTTAGAAGTGCTTCAAAGATTTTTCTTTAAGAAATTTGTTTCAATGCTTTCTATTTCCATGTCAATTTCTAATATCTGTGGAGCTAGGTATTAAGGAATTTCAAATCCTGATTATGCATTATTGGAAGACACAGGATAATACAATTCTGCTTTAATTAGCAGCACTCCAGATTGCTGTAAAGGGTGTTAACTTACATAGCACTTCCTTTATATGTTTAATTTTTGATTTAACTAGTAAAGAAAATCTGCTAAGACATGAAGATGGTGAATTTTGTTACCATAGTTTAAAGATTTAACTCTGTTTTGAAGAAAGTTGTTAAAAATTTCTGGACAGTTCTGCTCATTGGGACAAATTAGTGAACAGCTCCCTGGTAACTGTTCTTTATTATGGTCTTACGTGGATGCAAGAATTTGAGATAGGTCCCCGAAACCAGTCTATTTAATTGAAATTATACCAAAATTAAGTATTTTCACATTGAAAATAGCAGGAGAACTGTGATGTGTGTAAGCTTACCTGGCTCTGAGCTATGATGCAGTGAATTATCCAAAGAGGTGCTTACTACAACATGATTCAATCTGTGCTCCAGATGCAATACCTAATACTGAGAGATTGTTGATTATTTGGCTACTCAGTCCCTGTATTTCAGCAAAATGGCAAAGATGAGCTAGAGGCACACAGCTTTTCTGCTGACCAAGAGGAACTGAGAAACAGCTGTGTGATTCTGATTCATCTTGTGAATTATCTGTCCTTATCTAATGAAACAATTGGAGAGTAATGAAAGATGAAAAAACAAAAGAGCCCAGGCCTCTGCTTCCACCATGCCTTTGCTTTCTTTCTGGAAAAAGAGAGCAGTTCTGGGCAGTTGCATCATTTCTTTTTGATTTCACTTTCTTGTATTGCATAACATTTGTTAATGAGAATGTGAATGAGAATACAAGAAAAACTGCTGTACAAAATATACATTTATGAAACTATTTCTTGAATCTTTTTAATAAAGATATGTTGTTTCAATTGGTAACATCTCTTTCATACATGCAAATAATTATTACAGATGGTTTTTTCCTGTATGACTTATGCTTACTGGAAGCTGTTTAGTAGAATGTGTAATGTGATACCTTTCTACTTCTAACAGCGCTGATGAGAGCTGTAGAAAATGCACTTTTTGCCAAAATAGAAATACGTAATTCATTCAAAAAATATTGTGGCCAGTATTTAAAGGATGCTATCTTAGAGCTGACTGTGTTATTCCAGTCCAGCATACCAGCACAAATACTGCAGTTATTACAGCGTAGCTCAGTGAAAATGTTCTGGAAAAGCTGTACACCAACTTCAGCAAGGCCTTGACCAGCACTGGGTCTATAAAAATCCCCCTGTCTTGCTATGTGTGTCACATATTAGAGGAGGAGATTCATGTCCAAAGAATGACTTTGTGCAATATGCAATGATTCTATAAAGAATCATTAAATATAAATTAATATAAAGAAAGGTCTGTATTAATTTTCTGTCAGTGAGAAAATGTCTATTCATGCAGTAACTCTGTTTGAGAATTGACATTGGAAGATGAAGTGGGGTTTTTTTTTGCACAGGCTTAAGGATCTGTCTTATATCTTTACATTTTCTAGGATAGCCTCCTGTTGGATTACACAGCAGCTTCTCCATTTCTTAGTACTTCCTTTCTCCACAGCAAATGTAACATTTTCAGTATTGCATTGTTTACTATGCAGCTCCAATAAATACGATAATGGCACTGTAGTAGTCTGTAAATGTTTGTGGCAAGTTCTCAAAGATCTGTATTTTAACAGATGTAGGATAAATGTCTTTCAGTACTTCTGAAGAGCAGAAATACTGTTTAAAGTTTCTAGTTATCAAAGATACTTGAAATAAGTGTATTTCCAGAAGATCACATGAGAACTGTGGAATTGCTCAATTGCTTCAAAAAAACCCATAGAATTTGATGAGGCGTTTTTCCATTGCTCTCAGCTACTCTTTGATTCATTTAAAATGAGATTTTTATGGTTTTTGTGAGGTTAGGAGTGAACTTTTCTTTGCATGCAAGATCTGTCAGTATACATGCTTGATACTTTCATCACCAGCCTAAGCTGCTTCCCCATTGCAAAAATAATAATTTGGACAATACAATGGAAAGTAAATGTTCATGCAAGTTCATTTCTGCGTTTTTGTTCAAAAGTCTTTTAAAAAGACTCAACAGCAGCAGCCTAGTGTTGATTCTGGTGTTAGGTAACAGTATCGTAAGTATATTCAAAGGAATGTATAATGACTGTCTATATTAATGCAGCCACTAAGACTGCTTGAAATTAGTTGTGGGCTGAATTCCTTAAATATCGGCTAGATTATTTTGTTACTGCTTTGAATTACAAAGATGGAGGAACAGACTTTGACTCTTTGATGTTTTTATCTTAACATTTGGTCACTGGACCATATGGGACGTGGTTGGATAAAGAGGGATATCAAAGGACTTGATACCTTGTGATGTTTATAACAAACCTTCTTGGGAGCCAGACTTGCTGCTATTCAGTGCTGCTTCTGAGAATTTACCTGGTTCCTGTTGCTTATATTGTGACACTTGCACCTCAGATGTCAGATAATTATGTAACTATGACAGATTTTTTAAAGTAGACAGTACAGTTTTCTGTATATATACATTTTTGGAAAAAAAGTAAATTTAAATGTAAACCATCAGGTCAAGTTCCTTTTAATAAATTTTTTGGTGTTTTGTCATCAGCTGTATGAGAATCTAGTTTCCTACAATGCTGCATCCTCAATTTGCATTCACTGAACGGGACCAGGATTTCTTCATCTCTTCTTGTTTTTATATATGAAACCCATCATCTTCAAATCATTCCACTTCCCTTCTTCTAAAGGTTTTCTTAGTGTTGAACTCAGTGAAGAAATAATATCAACTTCCACCCATCTTTATTCCTGCCTGAGAAATTACAAGGTTTCTAAGTCATGACCAGACTTAGAATCCCAAGTTTAGATTATAACAAATCACCTAGTAAGTGCTGATTATTTTTGTTTTTCTTAAATTGAGATGCGTACTGAGAAGAGTGAACCCTCAAAACATTAGTGTGAGCTCCAGAAAACTAAGTTGCCAAAAAAACATTTCTGTGTGATGTAATGGTAATTGCTTTAGAGCATGGATAAATGTAAACTACTTATGGGTAGGATGAATTTTATTTATCTGTATTTTGAAATGGGTTACAGGTTGGAAAAAGGAATTGGGTCAGTTTCAGTGAAAGTGGAATGTATCTATATACAGCAATTCAGCCTCATTTAAATGTGCTCATTTAAAATTAGAACTTACTCAGATTCATAACACTTCCAAAATATTGTGGGCAGAACAGGGTGGGTCACTCTGCTGCCTGGATTTCTAATACTTGGTCAGTCTCCTGATGAGAGTTGCTATGTTTAATTGATTTTTTGCCTCTGAGTTCTTCAAATTCTTCTAAACTCTTGTATGACTTATTCTAAAGCTAGATCTATTAAACTAAGTTATTATAGGACATGGATGTTTTTTGTTCTAAAGTATATAATAAGGATACATTTCTTGGCATAAAGGAAGTCCTGAAAATCCACTTACTGAACATCTTTATATGACATTTCCCTCCAGTCACTCTTAACACATATATGTGTGTGTGTGTGTATGCAGTGAGTCTTGAGATGTTTTTTCTGCTTCTGCTTTTCCTAATTTTTGGATTAGTTTTAAGAATATTTTCTAATAGAGTATTACCACTATACGTATATATCACTATATATACACATATCACTTTATATGTACACCACATATATATGTTATGAGTGTGTATATATGTGTATACATACATACACATGGGGTTCCTGTTTTGCTTTGTCTTGTCCAGGTGGCCCTACCCCAAAAGGACTGAGCACCACTTGTCAAATCTATACACAGGAAATCTTTGTGCTAGCACTGTTTTTTGTTCCTTATTCAGTGTGGTTTGCTGGTTCAGTTTCCAAGTAGCATGCAGAGGTGTTTTATTAAAGTGATAATGATATACAGGTAGAGTAACCCAAGACAAGGCTGTACACATTCATGTCTACTGTTGTGGGTTCATTTTGATGACCTCTTCACCTAAAAAAAAAGTGTAGGAAAATAGTGTGCATTAGTAAGTATATTCATTATACTGACTGACAAGTGTAGCTGAGTCATTTTATAAATAACTGAAAAAACTGCCTGTGTTGGATAAAAATGCATATACATTCAAACATGTGTTGGTTTGCATGTTATTTGAGAATCTAATGCCAAAGTCACTAGGAGCAAAGTAATTACTACATGATCTAGAAGAGCATTTTTAAAGCAACTGTTTATGCTGGTTCACACAATAGTAATAAATAGATTAAAGTGGAATAATTGCCTTTATTAGTGAGATAATAATAATAATATAACAATAATTCAGTAAACCAGTAAAATTCGTTAAGCACTACAAAAGATTTCCTAAGCACTTACACAGATGTTTTGGAATTAGTTTGCAGTAGAAAATACGGGTAGGAAATAATAGTTAGGATGCATAAAAATGTTCCTGTGAGTGTATACTTGGATTTGTTTTCTCTTATGAGAATAAAAATACATTAAGACACTGATGTAGACTGTAGCTGATAGATGCAGAATCCTTTCGTCTTGGTAGGATGTACACCTATCCACTAGTAACAGTTTGATTCACTTCATACATCTGCTGTAGATAAGGGAAACTTCCCATACCAATGTAATTCTTCTGAAAGCTTTGGAAAAGCACATAACATTCATCACAGACTTTGATACAAAATGCAGTCATTGAGAACTGTTGAGCAGGAAAAAGAGGGAAAATTTTAAACTCCTGTATATTGTTTTTCTAAAGATTTTTAGGTACTTCTGAATTCAAAGGTACAGTCCATTGAATGGAATTAGAGTGAAGCCATAAGACTAGTCTTTAGAAAAATTTAGTCATACTAGAACAGCAGAAGTATCAATCGAAGGGATTATTCAGAAGCTATGCTTGTGATGTTTCTTGTTTTTTTCACTCCAGGATTGCTTTCTGTAATAAATCTTTGCCTTTCCCTTTCCCTCCTCCTTCTCTTTTTATTTTTTAATCTATTGCTCACTTCTATGTTGTGCATGTACTATTTGTTAACTAGAGTAAGTACTCAAGATCATCACATTTGAATCCTGCTCTACTCCAGACTCATATTTATCTATTTAATATATCATAAAACAGTAAAGTTAAATAAATCTGTTTTGAACTTCAGCAATAGTCCTGATGTGTTCTAATATTATTCATCATATTTGTGGTCAGTTGGGATGAAAGTGGTTGCCCACACATGAGTCTAACCCTTGTGGTTGACATTCTCATCATACTGCAAGAATGCAGTTGTCATTGGTTTCTTGCATTGGTATCTATCACCATAGCATGTGGGTGTCTGAAATCATGATCTCAGAGTGATGCAGGTCTTCAGGTGATGTGCCAATCTCATGGTGGTATTGGAAACATAAGGCAAGCTTTGAGCCACATTGTGTATTGCTAACTGTGATTTATTGCCTTAGTTATGGAGATTCAGTGCAAGAAGAATAATCCTGTGGTGGCTGCTGAGTAACAGATATTTTCACATTCAGAAACCACTTTTTTCCTTACTTAATGGAGGTGACTTCATGTCTAAGTTAGGTTCTGCAGAATGCTTGTTCTTGGATGCAACAGTCACTGTTAAGGTCTTTTTCCATTCTATAATTATATCATGTGTATTGCACTGCTTCTGGTAGATTCCAGTTCTCTATTGAAAAGAATAAATACAGTCCAGGAGTTTTTCAACAGTACTTGCACATTTACTATGTATAGTTAGTTCTCCATGTGTTTGTCCTCCTGAGTATTCTGTTACATTTGTATAGTCTGTAGGGTTTGTTGACAAGGAGTGACACCTTCAGAAGCAGTTAATCTACTTCTAATAGAGTTGCTTAAATAGTTCGGGTGAATCATCCTCTAGCATGCTTGTTTCTCTCTGTGGGGATTGAAATGAGTCTGGGTGACTATCTGAGGTCAGACAGCTAACTTTTAACTGAAAAAACCTGGGTAAGATGAATCCAGTCCTTAGTTATTGAAGCAGTGGTTGTTGCCTGGGTAATCCCAGAAAACTTAAATTTTCAATTTTATTTTATTTTAGCTTATTTTTCTTCCTTCTTTTTCCATTTCTGATACAGGTCCTGATGTCTTTACATGAAATGTTCCCAGCAGTGCATGCAGCAGAAATGGCTGTCCAAAGAAACCCACGTTCCTGGGATGCCTGGCAGACTCTGGGACGTGCCCAGCTTGGATTAGGAGAGATAGCACTGGTAGGATAACAGAGTTGATTGTGTGTGAGAAGGAAAGTACAGAAATACCGAGGTTGCTGTATATCCTTATGTATATCCTTGAATATAGAAAAGGAAAAAGATTGCTGTTGTTTATCTCCAGTGTTTCTTCTGCTTTATTGTATTTCACAAATGCTTCCTGTGTGGTTTTGTTGCTGGACTTGTGGAAGACCTGTCTAGCTCCAAGACTTTTGTGTCACATACTATATTTATGTGGTGGCTTTATGCAACAGAGCAATTATGCTGACATAACTCCACATACTGCATTCTGTGTGTTGTTCTGCTACAGTGCAGCTTACCATAGTTTAAGGATCAGGGTAATGCAAAGTCCAAGGATCAGCTGATTATTCAGGCTCAGTTTTTATACATGCCTGCTGATAAAATTCTAATGTCTTGTTTTTCTTGTGTCCTGCTTATGCAGCAAATCATGTGTGCTCATTCCTGTTTTCCTCTGCCTCCCTTACCTCAAATCGTGGCTGAGGTTGCTTCTTCACTCAATAAGAGCATAAAAAGCCACGGATGCTCTGCAGTTGCTGGAGTGCATCTGCTTTTTCTGGAATATAATCGTTTTCTGCTTGTTTCTGTGAAAACACAACAGCTGAACTTTCAAATTCCGATACTTTCACAGAGGTCCGTTAGAAGAACAATGCATCATGACCTCTTAGATGAGAAAAGATATTGGTTGTATTTTGAATAGAAGTAGCTGTGTGCTGTTCTGGTACAAAAAATTTTGTTGGCAATTTAGAGTGTTTTTGCAAAGTTAAAATGTGTGGTCTGAAAATTTTCAAGAAATAAAAAAATGATAGAGTTTTTTTTGATGGAGAGTAACAATTAATGCAAAATTAATCTTTTAAATGTAATAAGGAGCAGTGCTAAAAGCCCCAAACCAACCAAAACAAACACAAGCAATGTGAGTTACCAAGAGTCATAGAATGGTTTGGGTTGGAGAGATCCTTAAAGATCATCTAATTCCACCCCCACCGTGCCATGGGCAGGGACACGTTCCACTACACCAGGTTGCTCAAGGTCCCATCCAGCCTGGCCTTGAACATTCCCGGAGCTGAAGCATCCACAGCTTCTCTGGGCACCCTGTTCCAGAGTCTCAGCACTTTCACAGTAAAGAATATCTTCCTAATACCCAAATTTCCCCTTTTTCAGTTATACCCGTTACTGCTTGTCTTGTCTCTATAGTTCTGACAAAGAGTCCCTCTCCAGCTTCCCTGTAGTCCCCCCTCCAGATACTGGCAGGTTGCAATGGGGTCTGCACGCAGCCTTCTCTTCTCCAGCCTGAACAGCCCCAACTTTCTCAGCCCATCTGCACTGGGGAGGTGCTCTAGTCCTGTTAGACAAAACCTAAGACAAAAGCTGTGTGCTACAGATGTGCCATGTGCTCCTCCTCCTTTTGGTGCAGTACCATAATATGAAATATCTCTCATAAATTCATGCATATCTGCATTTCAACAGTGGTAACATTCCATGGCTTTTGTGGTGTAGAAGGTAAGGGTAGATGGTCTGGCCTGTCTATATCTTTTCCTTTTAAGCATATGAAACTGTTGCTGTAAATTATGCCTCAGAATTTTAAATGCACTAGTCCCAGGAAAATGAGGGTTTTATTTCCTTCAAGGATCCTAAGTAACTGATGCTCTTTATTCTGTAAAAAATGCTACAGTTGCTGTAGTATCAGTTATAAATAGTAATATACCTATACTAGTTACACCCAGCAGGTTGATTCACCAGATCCTGTAAGGTTTTTCTACATAGACAAATCATGAAACACCAGTGGAACTGGGCATCTTGACTAATGGGGACCTAGTGTTCATATGATAGTAATTTTGTTCTATTTTAGAGTAGCACTTTAGGTGCTCTCTTAGAGTGCATTGTTGAGCTTAATCAGAAAGGGATCTAATTTATGTGTCTGAGACTATTCATTGATGCAAATCAGAGCATTTTAAGTGGGAACAATAAGAGAATGACATCGAAACACTTCATTCATCTGAAACACTGCTCTAGGTGCTCCTGTAATTGTTGAATTGACCTTACTGTGGTGAAGAGGGAAGGAGGAGAGGTTATCACAGGTAGTTTGCCCTCTTAGTGTTTTTAATTGTCTCTGAGTAGGGAGCCTGAGGTGCGGAAGCTGCTGTTGGTGTCTCCAGAGCTTTGGTACTGCAGGTTCATACTTCATCGCCTTTCTGTCTGTAGGTTGAATTGCCTTCTGATAAACGTGTTCTCACATACAGAGAACTTAGGGAGTTGTTCAAAATGTTCACTATTTGTTTTTGAATCAAGCTGTTTTTAAGGAACATTAAGAGGTTAAGACTGAAGGAATTTTAAAATAAGAAATTAATTCACAGTTATTGAACTTGTGGAGTCTTCTTGACCAAGTGGTTTAAGTCATAATTATCCTTTTTTAACTAGTCTTTCATTGCTATGATTTTCTGGTTTTCCCTGTATCATATTTTTACAAAGAAATATTAATAAAGCATAAATATCAAGGCTTTTTAGTAATTTTTTTGAGATTTAGGAATTACTACTCTTTTCAAAAACTGCTTCTTCTGTTTCTTTGTTTCATTTCTCCCCCACCAGCATTTGTCTTCATTACCCACATCCTGACAAATAATGTTGTAAATACTTTAATTACTTTACAATGAATGATGCATTTTTTTTCTTAGGGAAAAAACATTTTACTGTATTTTAATTTGGTGTTTCCCAGGTCTAAAATGCTGCTTCCAAACAAATCTAATGTATATTATGAGCTATGTAATAATAAAAGAAAGAAAAATTTGCTTGGATTTAGCTTATGTCAAACTTGTGACAAAAAGAATGACATAAGTTGTTTGCTCTTGTTTTTCACGAATTTACAAAATAGGGTAATTCAACAGTAATACTTAAATGTGAGCAAGGAGAACTTTATTTCCATAAAGGCAGAAATCCTTAAATTCTACAAATCAATGCGCAGAGCACACCTGAGTAAACCTGCAATGTGAATGTAGAAATATACTCACGTTTGCACTATTTTTCTCATTTCGTTGCAAATACTTGGTTTTACAGATTTCCTGTGCTGTTGATGACAACTTGTTAACAATTTCACACTTACAGCTTCATTAGAACAGTTCCTCCCATGAGACAGGGTGAGGCCCATGCTTTGATTAATCGGGGGGAAAAAAAACCAAAAGCAATATTAAAAAGTAAAAACAAAACTAATCACAAAATAATTGAGGACTAATTGAAAGCACCGAGTCTCCCACCGTGGAGAAGTTCATTGGCCCTGTGACATGGTCATGGGCAACCAGTTCAGGTGGCCCTGCTTGAGCAGGAGCTGGGCCCAGGTGACCTCAGGAGGCCCTGGCCAACCTCAGCCATTCTGTGGTTCTGTGACTTCAGCTTTACCCCATTCTGGATCCCTGTCAAATCTGGAGTACTGAGGATCACGAAGTTGAGAGGATAGATGTGTAAGTTTGCAATGGTTTTGCATGAGATTTGTTTCATGTTTTGAAGGATGTGGTTTCCTGTATTCCTGCTAAGTAGTTAGTGCTTTAGCAGTCTTTAAGTGTGACACAGCATTTTATCAGAAGAATCATGCCTTGACAACATGAATCGTCAGATCAGCCCTTTCCTTTCATCTCTCTTGAAAGAAATAGTTTTAGGTCTTGTAGATAATGATGGGAGTTTTGTACTCCCGAAGAGAGAAATGTCTGTGTTTTATTGGAATGCAGCTAATTAACATAACTAGTCTGAATTTTAGATAATTTTTCAACATGTTACCAATGTTAGCATTTAGAAACAGAGTATTTTGGTAATAAAAAGGAAATTGGTGGTTGGCCTTCCACTGAAAAGTCAAAGTGTTCAGGAAATGCTAAGTTAAATTTTTTTCAATTAAAATGGGGCTCTGTTAAATTCTTTTCAACAGATTTAATCAGTCCTGCTGAGTTATTGAGGTAATAGCCAGTAAAATAAGCTTCCACAGGAAGGTCCTGTGTTAGTCCTGCCCTCTCCATCTGCTATAGAGTTACCCTTTATTCTTTTTTAACCACTGTTGGAAGTCATAAATATATTTTGTGATAGTGATTGTTAATGCACGAAAAAATCTTCTTGTCGGAGGTGATTTTTATTTTCCGTCAAGAAAGCTGAAGGGCAAGCAAGTCTCCAAAAGTTTAAATGCCCTTTTCGGCTACAGTTCTGCCAGGGATACTCAGTTTTTGCAAGTGATTATGGCTGATTTAGCTGGCGCCTCCTGTTTAGTTATCTTTGTAAGATGCTCAGGACTTTTGATGAGTGCATTTCTCAACATCAAGACCTTGTAATTGAAAGTTTTAACTAAAACAGATGCACAGCATAACACAAACAGGGATGTTGAAGAAATTTTATTTGACCATTGTTTTAAAATTCTTGTAATAATTTTGGCAGTATAATTTGATAGTAAAGAAGTAAATGTTTTCTTGGATTTTCCTGATTTGCAAGGTGAAAGTACTGTTAGTACTTAAGTTTATTTTCCTAGGCTAACTCTGTAAATTTCTAGGGTGGGATTAATTTTTGTGATTGTTGTTTCCTTGGTGGTCGTGGATCATATCCTTGCATCTGGTAGAGCACAGTGTAAGAGGTCTGTGTGGTAGAGGCAGCCTGAAGCAGTGACTTCAGGAGAACATGCAGCAGCCTTGCAGGGGCTTGGAGAAGGGAAGGTAAAGGTCCTCTAGTTCAAACCCCTGCCGTCAGCCAGGACATCTTCAGCTAGACCAGGTTGCTCAGGGTCCTGTCCAGCCTGGACTTAAATATTTCCAGGGGCATTAACCATGTCTCTGGGCAACCTGTTACAGTGTCTCAGTAATCTCACTGTTTGCATTCCTCACATCTAGCCTTAATCTACCCTTTTTCAGTTTAAAGTCATTACTCCTTGTTCCATCACTGCATGTCCTTGTAAAAGTCCTTCTCCAGTTCTCTTGTGGGTCCCTTACAGGTACTGGGAGGCTGCTGTAAGGTGTCACTGAACCCTTCTCTCTCCAGGCTGAACAGCCCCAGTGCTCCCAAACTGTCCTCATAGGAGTGGTGCTCCAGGCCCCTGATCCTCTTTGTTGCCTCCTCTGGGCTCACTCCAGCAGGTCCCTGTCTCTCCTGTGCAGGGACCCCAGCTCTAGATGCAGTGCTCCAGGTGGGTCTCAGCAGAGCAGAGCAGAGGGGCAGAATCCCCTCCCTGCCCTGCTGCCCACGGGGCTCTGGATGCAGCCCAGGACACGTTTGGCTGTCTGGGCTGGGAGTGCCATGGCCAGGGCATGTCCAGCCTCTCACCACAGCACCCCCAAGGACTATGCTGAATGCTGGAAGAACACACAAAAAAACTTCCATACTAAAGATCATTTAATGCAGAAAAAATTACTTCACTGATAGACATCCTTTGAAACAGGTCAGAAATTGTCAGCCAAGTGTAACATAAATGCTTGACACATACTTTGGTAGCAGATACAACCTCTTAAAATTCTCACCTGGCTTTTTTGAGGCTCTCTCTATACTGACAGTTATTAAGTCCATATGCTACAGAAATTTGTAAAAAAAGTGCACTCTGGTCAGAATTGCCTTTCACACTTGAAGACTGCAAACCAGCAGAGGAGACTCTACCCATGGGACAAATGGAAGATTGATTGCTACAAAATACTATGTAGTGAGACAAAATGTAAGACACTTCAAAAGTACAGATTTTGCAAATACTGTAATTCCACAAGGAAGAAAGTCTCGCAGAAGGTTTTACATTGCACTTCCTTACAGAAGCAAAAGCAGGTACATGACTGTACATGACTGTACTTGTTTAAAGTCCCATAATCCTTATAGGCAGGGTCTCTAAAATCACAGCTCCTCTTTAGAATGAAGCTAGAAATGCCATAATGTAATGTAGTGTCACTGTATTTTCCTACAATGCGACAGGCAATTGGAGAAGGAGATTTACATCTCCATTAGGGGAAGAATAAAAAGTAACACTGTTCTTTTCTTCTGTCTTAGTAGAAATTAGTGGCTTTGGGTGCTGTTCCTGTGGCAATATAAAATTTTAAATGGATGACAAGCGTGTCAGTTTAAATGGATGACAAGTTTTCAGTTTTACATTGCTGCTTTAAAGTTAATCCCTCTGATCTTTTGCAGCACTTAAAATTTACTTTAATATTTTGTTATTTCTTTATAAAAATGTCAAGCACAAAAACTCTTTTCTAATAGATTTATACTAAGATGATCTTTTTATGCTTTATGCTGTATAGTATGAATCATCAAAGCAACTTTGACGCTTAGCAAATGTTATTTATTGTGCATGAACATAACTCTATAGACAGGTTTTAATTAGGGGACATCTTTCACGGAAAGATTAAAAGCAGATGGTGTTTGTTTATATTTTGTTTTCAACAGAAATACAAAAATGAGCATTTAGTGTATACTTGTTGTTCATGCGTCTTGAAAATTAAAAGCTAGCAAAGTTGAATAAAGTGACACTGTTTTATGAGACCTAAACTTCAGTTCTTCTGTTTGAAGTTTAGCATGCTCCTACATTTCGTAGCTGGCTGTGGACAGTAATCAGGCTTTTTTTTTTCTATCTGGCTGCCTCTTACAACAGCAGTAATACTGAGAGCATAGGCAGCATTTCTTAAGTTTGATTTTGTATCTTTGAGTTCCCATCATATGGAATCCATATATTCATCTGTGCCCTCAGAAGGATCAGTTTCTCTTAGTGCAGAAGAAAAGTTATGATTTTCTGAATTCATTGGCATGCTTTAAGTATTTATAAACTACGGCAGAATATGTAAACTGTGGTTTACCATATGTCTTTAAAGTTTTAATATTCAAGTTGCCAGAACTCTTCCCAAATGTCATCCAAGTCCATACCATTACAGTTTTCCCATCTTACAGGAGGGCTTTTGTACATGTCATAAAAGAGTTTGGTCACTAAGGTGACCCATTTTCATAACTCACTGTACAGTCATAAACGTGAAATACACTCATGCTTTTGTGTACATGTACCTAAATTTGAGGAGGTAGGTTCAGTCTTGACCACTGTTAATATAACTAAAAGACAATACAGTTGTAATTCTTGGTGTAGTTTTTTTCTAGTAGTGTAGCAACCTCTTCTTATTTTAGATGGTCACACTTCTTTGTTTTTAATTTCACAACTTCTCTGTTGAGGATTTGTGAGTATTTTCCCAGTTGAACTGAAAGAAAGAAGCATCACTAACTACACTTATATCTACTAATACTACATTGTTTGTAAGATTATAGAAGTTCTTTTTTAGAGCAACTCTCAAAGTTTGGAGTTTATTTGGCTCCTTCTGTGCATTTATTTATGTGATAAATAAATGTGATACTTCAAATTCCAGTAATCTCTTTTCTGTATTTCTTTAAACCATATATGTCTCCTTTTGCCTTTGTATATATCTGATGATGAGAGAAAAGTGGATTAGGAAATCATCAAAAAATCGTTTGTCCTTTTACCTTTGTAATAACAATATTGTTTTTCATATATGAACCCTCTATTTGTGCCCTTTTTGCCAGGTACCTAGCTTATTCATACATTTTTGTCCTTTCAGACAAAATTGCTTGGGGGTGAGGCTGCTATTGAACCAAGATGAGGGAGGATTACTCCAATAAAAACAGGAGTGAAATGCCTTTTGGCTTTGCCAAAATATATATATATATATATATATATAAATTTGCCAAAAATTATATATATATAATTTTTTGTTGTTGTCAATTTTTATGAAAAAGGCAGGCTTTAAAGTGTTCCATATTTGTTTCTTCACTGTTCTGCTTATAGGCAATCCGAAGTTTCCAGGTATCCTTACACATCTTTCCAATGAACCCTGAAGTATGGAAAGAAGATCTTTCCTGGGCAAGAAAACTACAGGAACAGCAGAAGGCCACAAAGACTGGATCAGTGCAAGCACTGGCAAAAGGAAAAGAGCTTGTACAAGAGTCAGTCCCGGACTATGACTTTGAAAGTGATGAAATTGTGGCAGTCTGTGCTGCCATTGCAGAGAAGGAGAAAGCTCTTTCAGCAGCTAAAACGATGGTGATTGTGTCTGCTTCAGGCACAGTAGAGACTGTAACCGAGCAGGACAATTGTCCTGCAACTCCTGATGAAACCCTTTTCATCAGGGCCCGGTAGGGCAGCCTCATGGGTTGCCATACCCATAGTTCTAAGGACTGCTGTTATTTATTGTATTTTGCTTGCTTTGTGTTTGTTCTTTATTAAATTGTAGGATAGCCTACAAAAGTTAAATAATTTATCTTTCTTTTGCTGATTAAAAAAAACAATTACCTGAGTTACTCCATCTTTATTTTTCAAAAAGAAAGCCAAGAGTTGATTCTAAAAATTCTGAATTATTAACAAATGTAATGTTGAAATGCTTAAAACTGCATTCTAACATTTGCTTTCATCTTTGTGTATTTCATAATTTTACAAGTTAATGTGTACATTTTCCCAGTAATTAGGAAAGTTTTATTTAAGCTGTAAAAGTGCTGTGGTTTATCCCAGCTGGCAACTCAGCCCCACACAGCTGACTGGCTCTTGGTGGAATGGGGGAGAGAATTGGAAGCGTGAAAGAACTCATGGGCTGAGATGGAGACAGCCTAATAGGGAAAGCAAAAGCTGGACATGCAAGCAAAGCAAAACAAGGGATTCACCCACCAGTTCCCATGGGCAGGCAGGTGCTCAGCCATCCCCAGGAAAGCAAGGTTGCATCAAGTATGACTTGGGAAGACACCCTGAATACCCTCCCTTCCCCTTCCTCCTTCTTTCCCCAGTTCTGTGGTTGTGCTGTGGGGTGGGATATCCCTCTGGTCAGTTGAGTCAGCTGTTCTGGCTCGTATTCTCCCAGATTCTTGTGCACCCCCAGTCTTCTCACTGTTGGGGTGGGATGAGGAACAGGAAAAGGTCTTGATCCTGTGCAAGCACTGCTCAGCAGTAAGGAAAACAGCTGTGTGTTATCAACACTTGCCAGCACAAAATCAAAACCTAGCCCCCTACTTGCAGTTCTGAAGAAAATGAACTCTATCCCAGCTGAAACTGAAACTTGTTTAGCGGAAGCTTTTGTGCTATCCCAGCACAAAAAGAAAAAGAGACATTTAAAAAGTATTTAAATCACTATTAACATTATTTTTCTTCAGTAAAAGTGTGAGCTATTCTCTGTTATTGACAGTTTTTGTGTTCGTTAAGATTAGTTGTTCTATGAGAAAGTTTCCTATGAAGCAGGGATGGTTTATTATTTTGTATGTCTGTGTGTGACAGATCTAATTTGTAGCCAAATCAAGTTGCTTTCCTCGGTGAGTGGGTTAAACACTTTCTGATTAGATGAAAGGAGATGCTTTACCAAACAAGGCCCTGAATGCTTTGTTACAGCCAAGTGTTTCACCAGAAGAAAGAACAGTGTTTGTGACTGAAACTGGCGTTTCCTTATCTTGTGTGCTGTGCTACAGACATCACCAAAAGTAGAGTGGTGGGAGTAGGAAATAGATATGGCTGAATTGTTGAATTGTACTTTATTTGGGACTTTTTCTTTCTTAGTGAAGCTAATCTGATAAAGGGAGTCAGTTTGCTTTTCCTAATTCTTATGACCTGCCATTAAAAGTATGCTCTTTGGGAAAAAAAAAAGTTTTCCAGGAGAGCACTGATGGAGTCTCCCTTTATCCTTTTTGGATTTGGGATGCAGTGGTGGGTAATGAAGCACATCCTAGGAAATTTTTTTAATGTTGATTTTTTTTCCAGGGGAATGTGGCAGTTGGTTCTTCTCACAGGCAGTTCAGAGAAATGAAATCAGGCTGTTTCTTTGATGTATTCTGTGATCACATCCTACCAGTACTGGAAGAAATGGTCATCTGAGGAATTCCTGAAGAATTCAGTTTAGGAACATGTAATTTTTACTTGATTTTGAAAAAAAAATTATATGATAGTAGATAGTTTTGTAGACAAGTGAAACTTCTGAAATCAGTCATCTTTGCACTTTTCAAAATAGCACATTTTAAAAAAATAATGTTGCTTGAGAAGTATAGTGTTTTTGCAGTGGAAAATGCATTGCAGAAAACTGTCTCAAATCATACTTTGTATTTATCTGATATCAGAATATCTTTATTTAAGAGGATACGTACAGTTTTTTAAAAAACCTTAATTGCCCTAATGTACTAAGTTTTCATTATTTCTTGCAAGATTCTCCCTGAACGGTTTTTGTATGTGTGAATTTTTAGATCACTGTTTGCATGAGCACACATTCACACAAAACCGCAACTTTTACTATCTTCTGAGTATGCAAAATAGTTAGAACTACAGTGACCTAAATATATTAAGAAATGTAAAACATCACCATGCTATATTTTTATTTCTTCATTAAGTTCAGAAAGATTTTAAATGCTTACTGGATAGGCACTTGATTAAGATATGGTTTGATAGTTTAAATTATTAGAGTTGAAGGATTTCTTAATCTTTTTCTCTTATCAATTTAATACAATCTAGGCAGCCATAGGAAGAGTTAGCATGAGTGGTGTTTGGAAACATTTCTTCAAGAGATCTTCTCTGTCTGGAAGAGGATGTGTGAGATGCCCTAGGGTGTGTTTTCATTTTGAAGGAGCTTGGCTGTATCCACCTCATCTTTTCTTTCTTTGCGCTTTATACTTGCGTCAGTGTTCTGTCTTTACTCATACAGGAAGGACTGCTGCCCTTCTCTCAGAGGCTCATGTTATCACAGAATCTGTTTCCACTGAAATGATTCACAAAGTTCCTATTGACTTCAGCACTGCAGGGCCAGACTGCTGGAGGGGTGTACATCTGCACCATCAGGCTGTGCCAGGCTCGAGGGGTGGTGGTTTCCATCCCGGGGACTAAATGTGTTTTCCTTCTGATTAGATTAGGTTATGAATTCTAGGTATTGTCAGAACCGTAGCGTTTTGTAGAGCAGTGGAGTTTCTGGGACACTGTTTTCAAACTGGGGAGAAGTTCAAATACTAGTAATTTCAACATTGTTTTTTGTACAGCATGCCATGTTTTTTGCATGTATGTAATTTTCTGGATTGGTTTGCTGTTTGAATAAAATACTGACATCTGTTGCTTAATGATGCCTGTTTATGCTTTGGGTTATAACAAAAGTAAGTATTATTTCCCATTCCAGAATGTTCCTCATTTAATAATTGGCTTTTGTCTCTGGTGAACGTATTAATGTGTTTTAGTAAAAAAGAAAATAAGACATCTTGGGGAAAAATATTTAATGAAAGGTGATGATGCTCAGAGCTTTGAAACCTTTCAGGGATATCCACATGAGATGGAGCAAAAGGAGATGTTATCCAAAACAGGATATTAATGAAATACACTCCTCCTTTGACATTAGAAAAATATTTTTTTGTTGTTCATCATTATCATTAGTGGCAGTGAATGCAATAGCTTTCATGTGTTTGCCTTCCGTATGAGTCACATATTAAAATGCTCAACAGATGCATTCAAGGGGAAAGCTCAAGAACAACAGTGGGTTAAATGGATTAATTTTGCTTGATTTAAAAACCTACAGTTAAACATTCAAACATATTTTTCCCTTTGAGTCCCTTTGTATCCACTGGAAAGAAATACACAGCCTCACAGGGCCATTCATATGCCTTGTGTTAGATAAATATCAGAATAAGTTGAATCAGCCTCCCGAGGTGCCTAATTATTTCCCTTTACTACAAAGGAAGCTCAAGGTGACTGACGGGCAGTTAACCTCAAATGCTGAAACCGGGCGTGTGACTTCCACTCTCACAGACAGAGATCAGTATCTTTAAGAAGCTTAAATGTATTGAGAGAGAAATAAATACTTTCTGACAATACTAGAGGGTAAAAAAGAAATAAGGATCAGATAACAGAACAGTGACTCTTACTTTAAAATACCATAAGATACTGGATTTTAAAAGTAGTCACGGAGAGGGATAAAAAGTAAACGGAGCAGTTTACTCTGGGTTTAGAGATCAAGATCAGAGAGGCATCATTGGAAACTTGCTTGCCCACACAAGGTAAGTTCCCTCCCAATCCTAAAACCAAGGGAAGGGAGGAAAAATGCTAATGTTGAGGTGGTATCTTAAATTTATTTTGCGTTCACAGAATTGCTATAAAACTATACTGACTGTGGTTAGGACTGGGGCACAGGAAAGCAGAAGCATGTGGGCTTGGTTTGTTGGCAGGTTGCAGGAACTATGTGTTTATTGTAGGTGACTAATGTTAACATGGTCTTCTCAGATGTGCTGGAGTCCTTGGGCTGTGCTATCTCCGGAGGGGCTGGTTCTGGAGCAGGAGGGACTGATGGCCATGGATGACTGCTGAATCCTGCCAAGTGTGCCAAGGTGGCTGCTCAGTCACTGCCAATCCAACCATCCTGGCTTTGAGGGCTGGTTTCCTAAGGGCCACGAGGCTAGGAGCTCTAAGGATTGTAAAGGATAAATGATCAAATGGAAAGATTAGATGTGGGGATCGAGCTGCCTTTGGTTTCACAAAGCAGGAGATTCTCTGGGTTTCTAGGTCTGTAAAGCTGGCAGGTCTAGAAGAGGGCCTGGACCAGGCAGAGGCCTGGTGGTGTTTGGTAGCTCTTATAGTAACTGCCTTAAGTGGAACAGGTTTGCTGTTGTGTCTGGCAGCAGAAATAAAACCTCAAAAGCTTTCTGACTTAGCATGTTGGCTGTGCCATTTGAAGATTGCAGATTACACTGATCCTGTTAGTGCATTGGCACTGGGCCTGTAGCACCAGTTCGGGTCAGGCAGCACGGGTGTTCCCGACAGCAGGAATGTGTGAGCCTGATTTAAAACACACCAAGTCCTCTGACAGTACATCCCACTCCCTAAACCGTTCATAAGGCTAACTTACCATGGATCAGAGATTCAAACCAATCTGCAGATCTTCACAGAAACCACTGTCTGGTACAGATAGTGGCTCCCACACTGCCTGTGGTGGGTGGATCCTCCAAGGCCTGCCACAGGACAGGACTTTGAATTGAGCTAGGGCTGGGGTTTGGGGTATGGCTGTGGGGTTGGAGGTCGAGCAGTGTCTCTGGATGGAAAGGGATCAGCAAAGCCGTGATCTGGGATGTGTGGGCAGGCCAGGCAGCTGGAAGAGAGGGAGGGGCACTGCCAGTCCTGTGACCGAGAGATACAAGTCTGGTATAAGAAATTTTTGAATCGGTACATTTTCTGTGAACAGAGAGGACTGGGGAACATGGATGCTGCTGTGAAAGGCTGTTCTGAGGGGATATG